CCTCGCAGCAGCTCCGGGGCCTCCTCTGAACTTTCTCAAAGCACGTCCACATCCTCCTTTTATGTTCATGCTGCAAGGTGGGATTTCTTTCTTTCATGGGATTTCACTGGAGCCTCAGTTGAGCCTCTTACATGCCCAGCCTCTGTTGAACTTCAAGGAAGAATCAAACACAAAGGCTCAAAAGGGGTTGAGCTTTTGTCCATCTTGGAAAATAATGTGCTTTTAACAGAAAAAAGTGAAAATTACCATACTGCAGAGGTTAGGACCAAATAAATCAAACTTATACTTCATGTCTTCTACCCTGATCTTTCATGTTGGAGGCTTGACTAGTTCAACCGTCCCCATTCAGATTTAACCGATCTTACTTCTATAAAAGTATAAGAAAGAAACAAGCTACAGAACTCTTTGTAGGCTGCTTTAAGCTGGCAAGTGCATTACAGAGGAATCAGAAGATGGTCCCGTGGAAAGGAACAACGTGCAGTGATGTGCCATGAGAGAGGCACCCGAGAGAGCTGGAGTTACACAACGAAATGACGGAGTTTTACGTTCAGCGCTTTCTCTTTCGTCAGTAAATCCTCACTGTGCTTCCTGTAAGCATCGAACTGCAGCGCGAGTTCATCGTACGCCTGCCTGCTGCTTTCCAGCTCTCGCTGGAGCTCCTGCACCTTCAGCTTGCTGTCTGCTGCTGCCGCCTCTTTCACCACACGCTTTCCTGCTTTCTGCTTGGCTTTTTCTGCCGTCTCCAGCTTCTTCCACAGCTGCTGAATTTCCTGTTGCTTGTCCTGCAGAGCTTTGCCCCTCTCCATGGCCAGGTTCAGTAGCTGCTTTTTCTCCTCTTTGGCCCTCTGCAGCCTGGCCCGCAGCTCGCTGTCCTGGGCTTTCTGCTGGCTTTCCACGTGCTCTGCCTTCGCCAGGGTTTGTTGGTGCTGCTCCTGTAGGCACTGCAGCTGGCTCTTCAAGGAATCAACCTCCCAGGCATAGGCGCTGGCTTGCTGGCTCTGAGCTTCCAGCAGCTCCTCTTCCCGCTCCTGCGCTCTGCAGGTCTCGTAAGCGCATTTCTCCTGTAAGGAGTCTAACTGCTCCGAGAGCTTCCTGGCCTGGGTAGCAAGCTGGAGCACTTCAGCTTCCTTCTCCTTCATAGCCTGGCCGAAGAGCACTTCATTCTTCTGCCGCAGGCGCTCGTTCTCCTCCTGCAGCTGCATGTTCCGTTCCCGGTGTTCATCCTTGAACTGGATCATTTTTTCATGGTTGTCAGCCAGATCCTTGAAGCGCCACTCCAAACACTGGATCTGCTTGGTCTGGGCTTTCATCTTCACTGCGTCCTCTGTCCTCAGTTTCTCCAGCTCCATGTTTTGTTGCTCCAGGCCTTTGCAGTGTTTGTATGCATCCTCTGCTTTTTTCTTCAACATACAGATAAGGTGGTGCTGTTGTTCTAGGTGTGAATATAGCAACGCCTTCTCGCTCTTCTCATCTTTGGGGCTCCTACAGAGTTCTTTCAGGCCTTTTGTCAGATCTTCAATGAGTTTTCTCATCTTTGAATCACTCGTGGAGTTGGCCATCACTGCTTCTCTCCCATTCTGAGCCATGGAGCCCCTGTCTCACACAGAGATGAGAAAACAAGAGACAGATGAGCCCTATTGGAGTGAGTCCAGAGGAGGCCATAGAGACGCTGCAAGGGCTGGAGCAGCTCTGCTCTGGAGCCAGGCTGAGAGAGCTGGGCTTGTTCAGCCTGGAGAAGGCTCCAGGAAGACCTTAGAGAAGCTTCCAGTGCCTAAAGGGAGTGACAAGAAACCTGGAGAGGGGCTTTTGTCAAGAGCATGTATTAGCTTTGCTAATTATTCCTTCTCAAAGTGGTGGTGTTGTAGCAAGAACTACTCTTATATTCAGGTAAAAAGCTTGTACGTGATAAAGCTGTAAATAATTCTTTAAGCAATCTTTCTTCTCTGCTTTTATTTTCTCCTACAGATCTGGTATTATAAATGCAAGGAAAACATGGAGGGTTACATCGAGCTTCTCATTGATTTATAAGATTTTAATGGTGTATCACTGGTTAAAAATAACTGAGTAACCTTATCCCATGCTTAGAGATTTATGAATGAAATAAATAGAAGATCTGTAGAATGCTGATAACTACCCAGTGCCCTGTGGTACAAAGACACTGCGCCTGGAGAAATGGTTCATCCTTTGCCGTTTTGCTGGATTATTTTAGGCATGTAAGTTTTAAAGTCTGGTTCCTCGTGTAAAAATAAAGGAAATATTTATATTGCATTGGCAGCCAAGTCATTACTGGTGCCTGGTTGTATGGCAGTGTACCCAGAGATACGAAATGTTAGTCTAAAACTAAACCAAAACCAAGTTTTTCATTCAGATGTAGACCTTAAACCACATGGCATGTGACACAGCATGCCAAGAATCAGGCTTTGCGAGTTCTTGGCTTTGACTGGAGGTAAGGGGAGGACAGGGGAAGGAGCCAGCTTAAAAAAGGAGGAGAAATATTGTACAGCAAAACTGAATTAATGCCTGTGAAGCACGGACAGCTTCAGAGCTGTGGTGACCATTAGCATGGACACAACCTCCATCTCCACAGTCCTGCACTTTCCTACTGCTGTTGCTACCTTGGCTTTTGCCAAAACGTTTAGAAGTCACAGAGGAGAAGGGGATGGACAGAAAGCTTTAGGCTGTCCAGTGGAAGCACAATGAAGTGCAGTGTTTAATAGGAGAGAAACATTTTCTTACCGGGTGTTTTCTTTCCCCAGCTGGTTTGTTGTCACTACTGCAGCGGGGTTTCTGTCTCCGTGGAGATCAGAGGTGGAATCCAGTCACCATGGAGCTGGTGCCTTTGTCCTGGCTGCCTGGAACTGGGCCAGGGGCTGAAGGAGCTGGGAGTGTTTCTTAGCAAAACAAACACTGCAAATGCTCTCAGAAGTGCACAGATTTGGTAAAGGGAAGAGGATTTCCACACGTCTGAAGAGCTCCTCAGCTTGTGCCCTGTGTGTGCCAGAGGAGCTCAGAATAGCAGGATCCATGGTAAGTAACAGCACAGCCCTCACCCTGAACAACCTGCAGCTTTATTGAGCAGTGAATGAAAAGCCTGGCTGATGGGATAGGGGAGAAAAACAGCCAGAAGGAGGAAGTCAGTGCAGGTGTTGCTGACTCCACTGGAAGAGAATACAAAGCACAGAGGAGTGAGTGATGTGGATAAGGGATATGAAGCAAAGAAGACAAGGAGGCTGCAGTACCAGATCCTTCAAAATGGATAAAATCAAAGCAGGTTTGTGGGCTTGCTTGCAGAAAAGGGATGTTTCTGGAAAAACAGAGTGTATCAGGAGAGCTGGGACTTTGATGCGTGGTTTATAGGCAGCTGGTGTAATTTAGAATACATATACACATGTATAGGCATATACATATATTTGTACCAAAAACAAATAAAAACCATTCCAGACTAAAGCAAAGATGAGCTTGTAAAGTGAAGGGGGGAAATAAAAAAATAACAAAACCCACCAAATCCAAAAGGAAAAAGGTTTGGGGCGGGGGGATGTTTCTCCAAACAAGAATGAATATAAAGATGTTCTAGGAGTACAGCTGCTTTGTCATAAAAGTGAACTGGAATGAAGCATCAAAGCATAGGTATGAACTTATCAAAGTGCCCTTTAGTTAGTAACTAACTACACACCTTTAAAGCTTCTGCTATGGGTGACTAAAACCTTTCACCTGCAGAGCTGTTCTGGTTTTAAGAAACTGGTTTCTTGAAATTTTCTGGCGTGATCAACTTTGTAAACTTGCATTTCCCTCTCAGCACATTATCAGTGTGGAACATCCCACTGTAGTTGAGAATGACTATGGATTTGGTGGAAGGCTGTGTTAGTATGTGAGCCACGTTCAAAGAAGTGTCAAAAAATGCCACTAATAGCTTTTAAAAGATAAATTTTGCATGTCTTCAGTTAGATGTTTAACACAAAATTCCTGC